AGTTAAAAAATTCCAAAATTGAAAGCTAATTATCCACGTGTTTTAAGAAATTTTTTAGGATTCGGGACCCGGTGTCGAACAGCTTTGAGATTTTAGGGGTATACTTCTCGGGGTCATATAATACTGTTTTAAACCATAAATGATCATTATATGTTGTTATAAATGTTCGTGGTAGGCTTGAGTTAATTAAATCGATGAAAGTTGTAAACCAGTAAATTCGCCATTTAAAGGCTAATTTGATGGTTCCACCCACCTAATTGGACTCCCAGATTGTATTAAGGAGCATGGTAAACATTTCGTCAATTTTTATTTAATGGCGAAAAAAAGTCAAAAAATTCCAAAATTTAATATTCATGCTTTTTGAGAAATCTTCGAGGTTTAGAAGTCTGGTATAAAAAATCCTTGAGATTTTAGAGAATACATCTCGGGATCATATAATGTCTTTTGGAACCATATATGATCATTAAAAATTGTCTTAAATGTTCGTGGTAGGCTTGAGTTAATGAAATCGGTGCAAGTTGTAAACCGATAAATTGGTCGTTTAAAGACAAATTGAATGTTTTCACCTAGCCAATTGGACTCTCGGAGATTATTAGGGACCATGGTAAAAATTTTGGCAATTTTTATTTTCGAGGGAAAAAAGTCAAAAAATTCCAAAATTGAAGACTAATATCCACGTTTTTTGAGAAATTTCGGAAGCTTCGGGGCCCGTTGTCGAAAAGCATTAAGATTTTTGGGGATACATCTCGGGGTCATATAATGCCGTTTGGAACCATATATGATCATTATATGTTGTCATAAATGTTCGTCGTAGGCTTGAATTAATGAAATCGGTGCAAGTTGTAAATCGGTAAATTGGTCGTTCAAAGGCAAATTAGATGGTTCCACCTACCCAATTGGACTCCGGGAGGGTATTATGGACCATGGTAAACATTTCGGTATTATTTATTCACGGGCAAAAAAAAGTAAAAATATTCAAAAATTGAAGGCGAATAATCCACGCTTTTTTAGAAATTTGGAGTTTTCGGGGCCCGATATTTGAAAGACTTGAAATTATAGGAAATATATCTCGGGGTCATATAATGTCGTTTGGAACCATATATGATCATTATTATTTGTTGTCATAAATGTTCGTGGTAGGCTTGAGTTAATAAAATCAGTGCAAGTTGTAAACAGGTAAATTGGTCGTTTAAAGACAAATTAGATGGTTCCACCACCCAATTGGACTCCCAAAGGGTATTAGAAACCATGGTAAACATTTCGACAACTTTTATTTCCGTGCGAAAAAAGTTAAAAATTCCAAAATTGAAGGCTTATCCATGCTTTTTTTAGGAATTCCGAAGGTTTCGGGGCCCGGTGTTGAAAAGAAATGAGATTTTAGGGGATACATCTTGGGGTCATATAACGTCGTTTGGAACCATAAATGATCATTATATGTTGTCATAAATGTTCGTGGTAGGCAATGAAATCGGTGCAAGTTGTAAACTGGTAAATTGGTCGTTTAAAGGCATTGGATGGGTCCACCCAGTCAATTGGACTCTCGGAAGGTATTAGGGACCATGGTAAACATTTCGGCAATTTTTTTTCGAGCGAAAAAAAGTCAAAAAATAAAAAAATATCCACGTTTTTTGAGAAATTTTGGAGGTTTTGTGGCCCCCCCGTCGCGTCGCTCGTTTTAGATGGCATATACAAGTCTCCGTGTTGTCGATAGGCATTTCAGGTTCCGGATATGCTCACTTTTCTTATAGACCTCGGGATCGGAGGTTTGAATGACTCATATGGATGGTCGAGTCGCGGAAAAAATCGGCAAGAAAAAACACAAGAACGGCACCTGAAGAAAACCGAATTCGCCCCAACCTCGAATTCGGATTTTCAAAGGACGCGACCCCTGGTAGGAAATGGGATGAGGGCGTTCCTTTCCTGCCTCCTTCGATAAGGAAGGTTTCTTTAAATTCAAGGTTAAGATGCCATTCGTTTGATGAGAAATAAAAAGGAAGGTGTCGAAAAGGCTTGAAATTTTAAAAGAAACATCTCGAAGTCATATAATGCCGTTTGGAACCATATATGATCATTATATGTTGTCATAAATTTTTGTGGTACGCTTGAATAAATGAAATCGGTGCAAGCTGTAAATCAGTAAATTGGTTGTTTAAAGGCATATTAGATGGTTCCACCCACCCAATTGGACTTCCGGAGTGTATTAGGGAACATGGTAAATATTTCGGAAATTTTTATTTTCGGACGAAGAAAAGTTAAAAAAAAATCCTTATATATTATCATAAATGGTCATATAATGATGTTAAAACCATATTTGATCATTATATGTTATCATAAATGTTCATGGTAGTCTTGATTTAATGAAATCGGTGCAAGTTATAAACCAGTAAATAGGCCGTTTAAAGGCAAATTGGATGGTTCCACCCACCCAATTGGACTCCCTAAGGGTATTAAAGACCATGGTAAACATATTAGCAATTTTTATTTCCAGGCGAAAAAAAGTCAAAAAAATTAAAAAATTGAAGGCTTATATCCACGTTTTTTGAGAATTTTTAGAGACTTCAGGGACCGATGTCGAAAAGGATTGAAATTATAAGGAATACATCTCGTGGTCATATAATGTCGTTTGGAATCATATATGATCATTATTTGTTGTTATAAATGTTCGTGGTAGGCTTGATTTAATGAAATTGGTGTAAGTTGTAAACCGGTAAATTGGTTGTTTAAAGGTAAATTGGATGGTTCCACCCACCCAATTGGACTCCCGGAGGGTATTTGGTATCATGGTAAACATTTCGGCAATTTTTATGTCGGGCGAAAAAAAGTAAAAAAAATTCCAAAATTGAAGGCTAATATCCACGCTTTTTGAGAAATTTCGAATGTTTGGGGTCCGGCGTCGAAATGCATTGAGATTTTAGGGGATACATCTCGGGGTCATATAATGCCGTTTGGATCCATATATGATCATTATATGTTGTCATAAATGTTCGTTGTAAGCTTGAGTTAATGAAATCGGTGCAAGTTGTAAACCGGTAAATTGGTCGTTTAAAGGCCAGGCGAATTGGATGGTTCCATCCAGCCAATTGGATTTTCGGTGGGTATTAGGGACCATGGTAAAAAATTCGACAATTTTTATTTCTGGGTGAAAAAAAGTCATAAAATTCCAAAATTGAAGGATATTATCCACGTTTTTTGAGAAATTTTTGAGGTTTCGGGTAGAGCTGTCAATTCGGGTAAACGGGTCGGGTCGGGTCAATTCTGATTAATTCCATAACCTATGCGGGTCGGGTTTAGGTTGGGTCATGCTTGAATCGGGTCACGTCGAGTCACACTTTTTATCGGGTTTTGGCTGGGTTAATAATAGGTTGGGTTACATTTGGGTCGGGTGAACAATAGGTCGAGTTTAATTCGGGTTTTCACGGGTTAGGGTAATTATCGGAATCGAGTCGGGTGTAGTTCAAGTCAATAATTTGCGGGTTAGAATCAGGTCGGGTCATTCTCGGGTTTGAGTCGGGTTCGGTTCAAGTCAATAATTTGCGGGTTATAATCAGGTCGATCATTTTCAAGTCGGATCATCCTTGGGTTCAAGTTGGGTTTGGTTCAAGTCAATAATTTGCGGGTTATAATCAGGTTGGGTCATTTCCAAGTTGGGTCATTCTCGGAGTCAAGTCAGGTTATGTTCAAGTCAACAATTTGCAGGTTACAATCAGATCGGGGCATTTTCAAGTCAGGTCATATTAGGGTTCAACTAACTATAAATAGATAATTATCATTTTTATCAATCTAATTATTTCCTTTTGACTATAATATATATGGCAATATACTAGGGAACTATAGTTTATAATTTAGGAAGATAATTATCTCCTTTGGCCACACAACATATATATACTATATTGAACTCTTAAATTTGAGGATGAAGCTCCTTTCTTTTTGCTGGGCTGGACCGACTTGGTCTCCCTAGACAAAATGCTTTGATCAACGATAATAAGGTGGTCTAAATTGCATTTAAGGTGATTTGAAATCGAGTCAGAAACGATTTGGGTTGAATTTAGGTAGGGTCAATAACAAGTCGTGTTGATTTCGAGTCGGGTTAGTAACATATCAAGTTGAATTTTTGGGTTGGGTTAGTAATAGGTGTAATACTCCTCATGATTGCTTTAAAAGGATATACAACTCATATCAACAAGGTGCATCTTCCTTTTAGGGACCTCATTTGCTAAGATACTTCATAGTTAAGCGTGCTTGGATGGGAGTAGTCTGGGGATGTGGGGACAGTTGTTGGCCCTTGATGCGTATTTCGTGACAATAGGCCCCTCCCTAATTTGTTTGGGGCCGGGGTGTTACAAATTGTATCAGAGCAACCCTGCGACCGCGTGCTGACCGTGGATAATTAATCATATGTCAGTCATCTAGCGGGAGAGAATTCTGGGGCCATATGGCCGTAGCCAAACTGGATGTAACACTTTGGCTACCCAGTTGTCATTAGGCGTAATACTGGAGTCCCTAGCTTTCCAGGCGCAACGAGGGTATTGCACTTCTCAAGTGGGGGTGTATGTAATACCCCTTATGATTGCTTTAAAAGGATTTGATATACTACTCATTTGCTAAGATACTCTATAGTTAAGCGTGTTTGGCTGGGAGTAGTTTTGGGATGGGTGACCTCTTGGGAAGTTTTCTTGGGGTGCGCATGAGTAAGGACAAAATGCGGCGGAAGGACTCTTGTTGGTCTGTGGGGACAGTTGTTGGCCCTTGATGCGCATTTTGTGACAATAGGCCCCTCCCTAATTTGTTTGGGGTCGGGGTGTTACAACAGGTTTGGTAAATTTTGGGTTGGGTCAATAACAAGTCGGGTTGGGTTAGGAACGGGTCGGGTTGAATTCAGGTCAGGTTAGTAACAAGTCGGGTTAAATTCGGGTTTTGACGGGTTAAAACGGATTTGGGTCAATTTCGGTTCAAGTCGGGTTCGATTGAGGTCAATAATTTACGGGTTACATTCGGGTCGGGTCATCTCTAGGTCAGTTCATGTTCGGGTCTCACATACTCGGGTCAACTCGGGTCTAGGGTTGGTTTCAAGTCGGCCACGTCAGATTTGGATCACTTTTTTTTTCGGATTCAGATGGGTCGGTTAATAATCGGGTTTGAGTCGGTATTTCGTTTCGTGTCATGATAGTTTCTCTACTACGGTTTCACCTTAGTTCCCAATTCAAATCAAACCAATTCAAAAATTGTGTTCCACCCAAAAACTTGCAACGGTCGTCCCATTCCTAACATTGTAAACCCTAAAAAACCCTGAAAATCTTCTCCCAAACAATCTGTTGATTTGATTGAACTACAAATGGCGAAATCTCACTGCAATGCTCAAAATGCCATTGAAGAAGAAGACTATATTGAATTGGAAGATTCCGATTACAATGAATTTGATTCAGATGATTCTGAAGAAGACCCAACCTTCATTGATGATATTGACAAGTTTCAATCCAATTTCTCCAAGTTATCAATCAATTCACGATCAAATTTGAAGTGAAATTCCATCTTAAATTCTATAATTCAATTTTTACATCAATCTTGTAAATGGGTACTTCAATTTTGTCAACCCAGGCTTTTAACTAATTTCTTTTTTGGATTCTAGTGTCAGACATTATGCACCAGAAACTGAGGAAATGATTGCACCAAAGCTTGGAATTAAAGATATGAAAGATTTTGAGGAAATTCAGAGAGTTATAGACAGTAAGTAGTTTAGGGTATCATCATTGCAGAACTCAATCTTTTGTTTTTATGATATTAAAAGTTGTATGATGTATAGTGCTATAGAAGTACTGAAATTGAAAACAAAAAACGATAACGAACAGGCCCGTAATTTATTAGGAATTAAATTATGATGTTATATTGGCAGGTGGGTTGGTAGAGAAATTGAAGGTGGAGCAATGTAAGGTGTATTTGAGGAACCATGGGTTGAGATTGTCTGGGAAGAAAGATACCCTTGTTCAAAGAATCAAGGAGCACTCAGAGTAATGTTGCATTTCATCTGATGTTTAACATATTATTGCATTAGTTGTGCTATTCTCCTTTACTATGTATTGAAGTCTATTGAAGTGTTTTGTTTTTTTTTGGTTTGTCATTAATTTGATTATCAGGATTCTGAACGGGGGAGGAGAAAAGAAGTTTCCACAATCAAGCTTTGTGTTAAATTGCAAGGGTAAGTGGATGCTGTTGAGTTTCATTTGATGTGACTAGGCTAAATGAGCAGAGTTGGATTCATGATGAATGTAGCTAGCTAGGGTCGAAACATTTAGGAGATCAAGAAAATTGTTTGCCATTGTTTTATGTGTAGGAAAGCATCTTAATGATCTTGTTTAGGCTTTTTTAAGAGGTTATGTTGGGTGATAGTATGAAATTAAGACAGATTTATTGTGCCCTATGATCATAAATTCTTAATGTCATATGATGGGATGTATGAGCACAATATCGTGTTGGAAACTTGATTTAAGATATATGTAGCAAGCTAGGAATAAAATGTTTAGGAGATCAAGATAAATGATCTTGAGTACTGACTGATGTGTATAGTAAAACATCTAAATGATTAGGCTTAGGTTCTTTAAGAAGTTGTTATGCAGTGTGGTACTATGAAATTTAGATGGGAAATATATTGTGCTCTAGAATTGTGATGTCATAGGGTGGAATGTGTGAACACAATATCATTTTTAGAAATTTTGATGTGCCTAAGTTTTGCTTTATTATTCCTGCTTTTGTATCTATTTTGCAATACTTCAATGTGATTAACATTAGAGGGTAATTTACAGGTGATGCCTGTATGGGGGACATTGTGATGTTTGAACAAACTGTTTATGAAGGGTAATTGCCCTTTTGGCTTTGCAAAGTTGCATTTTCTTCTGAAATTCCTCATACGTACCTTTTGTCCATTGAATTTCAGTATGTAGATTCTTTGGCCCTTGCTTCATTCAAAGCATTTGCCTGTTGCAGGTACAATATCGCCTCAAGGAGTGCTACTGGTCCTCCATGCGGTAAAAGAATTGTTGCTGGCCGTATAGTGAAAGAAAGTTATGGTGCTGCCAAGCAGCAGCATACATTTACGGTTAGTTCTATATCTGTGCTTAACAACACTACTTATTTTACAGTGTTATACTTTGTGTGATCTGAAATGAACTATAATGTACTCTGCAAACTAGAATTTTCATGTTACATCACAATTTCACACTTCACACCCCTATTCAGCTCAATTTACTGTTTTTTTGTACCTCCAATTATGTAGCCTGGAGATTTTTGGCAAAGGGAGGGATAGAGTATTTCTATTACTTGTACCTGTAGCAAAATGTTAACAGACTCATTTATCTAGTGCTAAATTCCTGATCAAATGGCGTCTTATTTTTTCCCCTTAAGTGTTTTTCTTTCTTCCATGATAGCACAATGCTAGACCTTTTATGCTGATTATCTTCAAATGCCAAAAAACATTTCTTTGCTCAATTATCATTAATCGTGACAGCAAACATGCTGAAAGATTTGGTACTGACCATCTTTCAATTTCCAGGTTGAGGTTCTCTGGAGCAAAGGCCACAAACCACTACCTCCACTTCATCCCCTCTTAATTAAGGGCAGAAACCTCTACAAATTGAACACATTGAGGCGGGTGAGCAATTAACAGACTTTTTTTTTTGGCTCTTTCCATGCTGGAATTTATGATTAGATTGCTATTACTTAGAAGTGGTTTCCATTGTCCACCTATATTAGAGATGGGAAGATGAATCAGAAAGACAGCGGGTTTTGAGCGAAAAGCATTGCAGGGGCTCCCTCGCCCGATCAAGTAGAGAAGCCCGAATTCAGGGAAAGATATCAAAGAAGATGCTCAAAGGAGCAAGGTATGGACTTAGCATCACTTGTTTTTTTAATCTTAATGTTGAAATACAAGGATAGATGAGAGTTGGCCTGTTCTCTGTCACTTAGTAAGTTAGCACCACTCTACTGCAGGGTTTGTCCAAAAGAAAGACAACATATATCTCGAGAGAAGAACCACAGGCTAGCAACAGGTCACATCTCCAACAATGATTCAAAAAATGTAGGAAGCAAGGTTCAGCAGCAACATACAGTGGCAAAGAAGACTCAGCAGCAGCAGCAGCAGAATTACAAAGATAATAATATGAAGGTTCCTGTAGAATATAAAGAGAATTCATATGCAGGATTACCTATAGCACAGCCACCCCGACAGATAAAGCCAAATATACCAGCTTCTGATGCAAATGTAAAGCCAACTTCGAGAGTGTGCTTGGGATACAAAGATCTACATTCTTCTCTGTCTCACATTGCCCCTGCAAAATTTCAGCAAATACAACATCCACAACACCTGCATCATTCTGTTCAGGCTGTTTTAAAACCTCAGTCATTCCAGCAGAAAACATCAAACACATCAACCTGTCATTTCTATCAGAAGCCGAGCTCTTGCTTTTCTGCCTCCCGTGATTTGGCATTTTCAGATAAAACTCAGCACCCACAGAATCAGTTACTTGCTTCAAATAGAACATCATTGCACAACTCATACGGTAGAAATCATCAAAAGGAACCGCAGCAGCTGTGTCGACACTATCCTCGAGGCAAGTGTTACTATGGGACTCGCTGCAAGTTTTTGCATGTATCCAATAGGGACTATGATAAATTTTAGTTGACACCGAACTTCTGTGTGAATTACAATTTGATGGAAACTGTGCCCCTTCATTTTGACATTTCAATGCATTAAATTTTCAAAGAAGAGAGTTATTGTGTATAGCAAGACCAAATTGTTCTTGAGGTTTTAAAACACTACTATCTTCAACTTGAGGATTATATTAAGTTTCTTTTGGGCATATCATTACTGTATTATAGTGATTTCACATTTATATATGTACTTGCTTATATAGTGTAGGCCACGTGCCCCAGGCCCTGAATTAGCTATTCCAGACTTCCAGGGCAAAGGTTGTGCCTGGCCTAAACTGAACTCAACAGGCCGGTACTGGGTATCGTATTGGCCCTGTCCAGCTCCGAGTGTAGGACTTTATATCCCCTTATTTTTTGACATCACAAGAGCGAAAAGGGAGTAAAATAAAAAGCTAGGAAAATGTATTATACAATGTTCCTCGTTTATGAGGTAAGCTTCAAAACTTGTCTAAGCTCGGCTTACTATTAAATAAATAAACATAAACGAGTTTATACAAAAATTATGGGAACGTGTGTGTGGTTTTGGCTGTCAACATTCTCATAAGTCACAAGTGAAGGTTATTTTTTTTTATTTTTTTTATTTTTATTTTTATTATTTTTTATTTTTTTGTGTATAAAAACAAAAGAAAAAGAAAACTAAAATATGATGACTCATAGGACAAAAAAAAAGGCGGTCCCATATTTTCTATGCATGTCATCAAAACCAGTTCTATCTCACATTGTAAAGTTCTCTCTTTACCCATTTCTCAAATTTATCATCAATTATCATTTATCATCCTGAATTTCTGAGGCATCAGGTATGTGTGTACTCATATTTTATATTTGGTTCAAATTTTTATTGTTGATTTCACAGTTCATTTACAATTATTGGGGTAATTTGTTAATTGTAGTAAAAAGAGCAATGAATATTTGTACCTTTTGTGAAAATGAAACAAAAGAAGCAAGAACAAGCCATGAAAATCATGTTCAATACTATAAGGTTCTTAGGTTTAATCCGAACGAGTGTATAGCTATAATTACAACTGAATTATAAGGTATAACTGCCTCGGCTCGAAATTAATGGTCACATATACTACATTATATTATCCGAACTTGTTACCAATCCTTATGTATTAGTGATTAATTAACTTTCGGAATGTGTAACTAATTAAATTAAGTGAGGGGGAATGATGATATCAACCCAATAGTTTAGAGGGTCTTTTGTAAATTTTGTGAATGGTCTAAGTTATGAGTTAATTCAGACAATGTGATAACTAATTCGAAACTGAATAACTAAGACACCTCCAGCTTCAAGGATCTTGTTGGAAGCTCTTGAAGTGTAGTTGATTTTTCATTTTTCCTTATTTTTCAGTAATAGAGGATAGTTCAAGCATAACTTACATTGAATTCCAGGTCATGAACGGGCCAAAAGGCTAAAACTTTCAAGAAATATTGTTCCTTTCTCTCTTACCCCTTTACATTTAGGATCCATTATTTCAGTGAGTGCATCAGGTTGTTAGGAATGTTTTCTATTCTTTTCTGTGACAATGTCAGAATATTGTGATTAAAATTTAGTTTCTCAGCAGGATAGATGGCAACCGAGCCAGTCAATATAAATGAGTATCAAGAACTGGCTCGTCGAGTCCTTCCCAAGATGTACTATGACTTTTATGCTGCAGGAGCTGAAGATGAGCATACATTAAAAGAAAATGTCAAAGCATTCTCCAGAATCAGGTACTTTTAATGTCAATATTTCAATTGTTGATATTTGTAGCTATGATGTCCCTCTAAGGCTCTAAAGTTAGTACATCTGAAACACTTGCAGCATCTGTCCAAGGATTCTCATAGATGTGAGTAAAATTGATCTTTCGACCAGTATCTTGGGCTATCACATCTCTGCTCCAATAATGATTGCTCCAACTTCGTATCATAAGCTGGCACACCCTGAAGGTAGAAATCATACACCTTTTTTGTATTGTAGTTTTAATATAAATAGATTTTAAAAGCTGTTGCTCCTTGTGCTTACTGTAGGAGAAATAGCAACAGCTAAAGCTGCTGCTGCGAGTGAAACTATTATGGTACTTTTATAGTATATGTATTAGGCTAATTTAATGTTTCAACCTACCCATACTATGTACTTAATCCCTTCAACTTACTTTCATTCTAGGTGCTATCCTTCAGTTCTAACTCCACCTTGGAAGAGGTTTCTGCCTCCTGTAGTGCTGTGCGGTTCTTTCAATTATATGTAAGTTATTTTTCTTAAGATGCAGCTGTTTTTAGTAGCATCTCAAGGTTATTAGAAAGATTTTATGTAATGGAGAGAAAATGTCTTATATGGCACCATATCATGAGAAGGTGTTTAGAAATAGAGAAGTTTCAGCTTGGCTTGTTCAGAGAGCAGAAAAAAGTGGATACAAGGCTATTGTTGTAACTGTTGACACTCCTAAACTTGGTCGAAGGGAGGTGGATATAAAGAACAAGTAAGTTGGAGTTCTCTTGGATTCTTTTTCTGAATAAAATGACTTTCTTTACTTGGGACAGAACATTACAATCATCGCATGTCTCTATCATTTGCAGAATGATTTCACCTCAGGTCAAGAATTTGGAGGGTTATATGTCCACCGAAATTGTCAGTGTGAGTAGAAGAGTTTTTATATTTTAAAATTCCTAGCGATATTCAAAGAATGATATATGAACTCAAGAGTCAAGGCTCAATTTATCACATGAAACAAGATATATTTATTCATACGGAACATGAAGAAGGCTTTTCCCTTTGGAACTCCATGACAGATTGCATAATTATGTGCTGCAGGACAAGGGTTCAGGTCCTCAAGCTTTTGCAAATAGTTATTATGATGCGTCTTTCTCCTGGAAGGTATGAAGCAGCTGTACACTGCTTCTTAGCTCTTTTATATCTCCAGTAATTCATTGTTATGTTTAGTAAAGAGGTTCCGCAAACTTCTTTTTCTCCTGACATCTGAAATATAAAGAGTAGTAAAAAAATATTGCCTTTAAAACATAAATAAGAACTCCTAGCACTACTTTGGCAGTCTTCATCATACAACTTGCACATAGCTTTATTGGTGTCCATCTAAACTAAAATTATTTGAAGTAAAAATCATGTGTAGAACATGAAGACAAAGGTTGTACTCATCCTATTTATTGTTTCTTTTTCTCACAGACTGTAATCTAGTTGATCTCTAATTTTGTTCTATCATCTGGTAGGATATAAATTGGCTGAAATCTATTACAAAGCTTCCAATCTTGATCAAGGGTGTTCTCACACATGAAGATGGTAACATCAAACTCCAAATTGTTTAGTTAGATGGTCTTTCATTCTTCTGTTAGTTCTGTTCCTGGTTACAAGAAAAATCGAGTCACTTGGATATCAAATAGTTCAATTTTCTACTATAGCAAACCTAGTGCTATGATTCCTAAAAATGCCAAAGGCTGACCTTAGCACAAAAGTTAGAAAGACTATGAATTCTTATATTTATCTATGCTATTTGCATGGCAGCAACAAGAGCGGCAGAAGTTGGAGTGGATGGAATCATAGTTTCGAATCATGGAGCAAGACAGCTTGATTATGCTCCAGCCACAATCTCTGTTCTCGAAGAGGTTTAATTTTCTCTACTCTCTCTTGATCTGTCTTTTTTGCTAGACTTTTTCTTGATCCGTTTGGTTGATATATGAAGGACTAGCTTTTACTTCATAGGGATTGATTAACACAAATATACAACGAAACTAATTACATACTCAAGACATCATATGCTGTTTACAGTTGTACTCCACACAGCTATAATACTGAAGGTTTTTTTTCCCCAAGCTGAAGTTCAAAAGAGTTTTATGTGGCCAACCATAAACAAATAAACATTGTACATAATATCTACTGCATGGATAATCATATGCAATAATAATTATTAAGAGTTACTTCAACTTACGAAGACTGGTGTAGCAGCAAAAAAATCATATGTGATGTGTTTTGAGATGCCCAACTCATGTGTGGGCGGTTGGGCACCTGTGGCATGTCCACATCAAACTGATTTAGGTTGCATAAGTTCTATAGTTTCTTTTTGTTTCTGACTTTATTAGAATGGCTTGATGTTGCCATATGGAAAAGGCTCAATGGATTTGTATATCTAACATTGCAGGTGGTTCGTGCTGTTGGAGGCAAAGTTCCTGTTCTCCTTGATGGAGGGGTGAGACGGGGAACAGACATTTTTAAGGCTTTGGCACTTGGTGCGCGCGTTGTTCTTGTAAGATTATCTTATTTTTATCAAATATCCATTCCGATTCATGTCATCAACAATGTCACTGTAGCTCACACAGTGAATGTGAATTTCTTGCTGTTTATTAATAGGTTTACTAGCATGATTCATGCCATACATTCTCTTATTAGTCTACAAATTAAAGTTTCAGACTTCGATTTTTATTATCACACAGAACTCGGAAACTTTATAGATGAGATATAATTTTTATAATGTTGAAGGAATGGGTGGGGGGAAGGTGCAAGAAAGCCGCTGTTGGAAGATCATATGAGTTTAGGACCTCTTTGTTCAGATGCTTGGACAAATTCTGGATAAAAATCCAAATGATTATTATTGAAGTGGAATATTTTGCATAAGAAATCTAAACTTTTAAGTCGTTTAGCGAACCATGGTTGTAGGGTATGTGCTCACTTGTTAGAGTTCTTACAATCTTAATTATGCTTTTAGGTTGGAAGACCTGTAATATATGGACTGGCGGCAAAGGGAGAAGATGGCGTAAAAAAAGTCATTAGAATGTTGAAGGATGAATTAGAGCTCACTTTAGCCCTTGCTGGCTGCTCTAGTATAAAAGATATCACCAGGAACCATGTCAGAACTGAGCATGAAAGACCTCAGTCCTTGCTCTAAGTCAGTTTATATAAAAATGTCCAACTCAGTTTTAATTTTTTACTTTATGTTGTGAAATGAAAATAAAAGCTTGTTTCATAGGGCAACTAAGCAATAGTGCAGTTTGCCTTGAACAGCCAGTGTATTACTTCTAAAATGCATGATATGATTTGTATCAAGGTTTGTTTGTTGTTTGTTGAACACTTTTTTCTTTAGTTTTTTCACTATGGCATTCACTATCAAAATTTGCTTGTCAAAAAAAAAAATAAAAAAAAAAATAAATAAATAAAATAAAATAAAATAAAATCAGTCTATTTGAAAATTTGGGTGAATTAAAATGTATGATCTAATCGCATGAAATAAGAAGTTTTGAACATTTAGGTGATTTAAATTGTATTAGTGAAAAGTCCTACTAACAACCATTACAAAATGAGATGATTCCAAGAGAAAGGAAGGAATTTCAAAAGTTTAAAAGATCCAAAAAATTTTAAATTGTAAAATCATAATATCAATGTAGCCTAACATAGATGCTGAACAAACTTCAACATTTTGTGTGTTTGAATTAGAAGAGTCGATTCAAGTGATTGGGTTTAATTAAGTCGTGTCTGGTATAATTTGAAGTTGAGTCATGCTAATTGCTAAATCATCATACCCATCTACCCATCCAAGTAAAATTTAGATCAAGTCAGTTTTTGAGTCGGGTGAGTTTTTAACACCTTTAGTTCAAAAGAGAAAATGTAGAATGAATGGGAGTTGAGGTAAGAGATACATTTTCCTTACTTGGATATGACATGGGAAAATGAAGGCCAGAAAGAAAAAAAAAATAATAAAAATAAAAAAAAATAAAAAAAAAAAAAGAAGGAAAGGATTAGAATGGATCTATTCTTCTTTCCCTTGTAACAAACTAATTCTGCCTCTATTGAAAAATTATTTTAAACTGACTGCAGGCACTAGATGAACTATCACTGAACAAATGATTTACAATTAACCAAAAAACAATGAAAAAGTGAAAATTGCTTTATACAGATTCCCTACCAGGCATCTGTGCTAAAGATGCTGGATACTCATAGGAGCTCTAGGTTAAGTCATACTAACATTACTCAAGATAGACAACATTAATCAAGTGAAGCATCAATTAAAATGCTTCAACTACGTATTTGTAACAGAGTTACTCTTGCTCACTCCTTGCAAGTCCATAGAAGAATTTGTGATGCTCCCAACAGAGCCTAAAGTTTGAGAGCTTAATGCTGGGCTCGCAGGGCATGCCTCTGGGTTACCAGTACTCATCGGATGCATGGGCCCAGAACTCAATGGTGGGCTCATTGGAGTCCGTTGCCCCATTTGCTGTGGGCTGGCCTGCTGTTGGGAAACCTGTTGATTCATTTGCTGGGGGATAGCAAGTGTTGAAGGTGAACCCACCTGCTGGGGAGAAACCACAGCCTGGAGAGGGGAGGTGGCCTCTTGCTGTGGCATCTGCTGCTGCACTTGTGGCTGCTGTTGTTGTGGCTGCTGCAACTGTTGTTGTGGCTGCTGCAACTGCTGTTGTTGCTGCTGCAACTGTTGTTGTTGTTGCTGCTGCTGCATATGCTGGAACTGCAAGTGCTGCTGCTGCTGCTGAGTCATAGGAGCATTCATTCCTGGCATTAATTTGGCCATGCCCATCTGGTTCATTGTAGTCCGCTGCATTTGGCTGATGTTTCCTCTATTCAAAGATTGGTTCAGCATAGAGATCCCAGCAGGACCTGGCTGAACTTGCCGGGTCCCACCTGGCATACCAGTCATACCAGATTGAGTTCCTCCCATCATGTTTCTGCTTTGCATTATCTTCAAACGTTGAGCAAGGAAGGCAGCATGAGCTTGCTGAGGGGTGAAAGTGCCAGCACGAAGGTGCTGGCTTATCGCATTTGCCTGGCTCATGTTCAATGGGTTCTGACCCATGTTGCCCCCAATCCCTGAAATAGGACCCACTGGAGCAGAAATTCCAGATGCGCTCATTCCTCTAGCTCCACCAATCCCCATGACATTACCCAACCCCCCAAGGCCCATGTTGCCAATGTTCCCCATACCCATAGCAGGCCCAAGCCCCATCACCATCCTGCGTTGCATCTGGGTTTGGGCCTGGGATTGGGACTGAGACTGCGGCTGCTGCTGCTGCAGAAGTTGAAGAGGAGAAGGCTTATTACCTATGTGATTACCCAATGGCATATTCGCACCCTGCCCAAATGCATTCAATTGCGGCATTGTATTGGTTGGTAACATGAGGGGAGACCGCTGGAACTGAGATTGCGGTTGTGACATCAAAGATGGTTGATTCTGAAGCGGCAATTGCTGTGGCTGCTGTTGCTGCTGAAGTGGCTGTTGTTGCTGAAGTGGCTGTTGTTGCTGCTGAAGTGGCTGCTGCGGGTCAATCTGTTGTGGTCTAGGAGGCATTGTGACCCCTGATGAATGTGCCTGAGACAACTGCAAGGCTTGTGAATTTCCAGGAGGGAGCATCCCAGAATTAGGCAGGGTATTTGGGGTTGAATTTAGAGACGAGTAGGAAATGTTTGGCTTGGTTTCCATTGCTGTTTGCTGCCCAGAACCTGATTCTGGATACTGCTGCATATCAGCCACCGAATTATTAGGAGTGACTGCAGGTACATTAGGTTGACTGTTCGAAGGAATTGTATTACGAGGTGGTCGAAGTTGGACTTGATCATCTGTGAAGTAGCCCTCACGATTCATCTGTACAAACAATTCATCTCAGATTATTTAAAAAAACAAATGAAGCAGCTAATATTTCTTAAAATACAATATTTCAAGAGCCACTTACCAAAGCACAAAACTGCACTGCAAGTAAATCCGCCAAATGCTGTCAAAATTTCAAAAAACCTTAGTATTACATTTGAAATGTCAGGTGTTAACAGAAGTATATCTCAATGCAGAAGAGCTTAAGAGCCTTTCAGAATTGAGAGTGTAGTAACCCACAAAACCTAATAACTGAGTCCAGAGACAATAGTTTGAGCACATAGAGACTTGCATTGGAAACAGTGTATAAAAAGGCGCATCTAAGTGCTAAACATCTTTTTCTGGTCTTGGTAAGGCAAATTCAGTGAAGCTAATTGAGGCATACATCTTTTTTTTTTTTCTTTTTTTTTTTCCATATATTACTTCACTTTTAAAAACCCCAGTAGCCTTAGTGTGCATTAAATCTTTGTATCCATTGATCAAAGTCAGCAGGTACAGAATTGTTGAAAGTTAATTTTTGCTTCTTTATTCTTTTGGTTGGGGGCTGGGGAGGGTCAGCTCTAACATTATACTCACTTTGTCCCAGCTTCTTTAGTTTGCCCATTTCTATAATTGGGCAATAACTTAGTTAGATTTTATTACCTTTCTTTCCCCTACCAAAAGTTAGGGTCCTACGCTCTCTCAATGAATACAAAAATACTCCATCTCCCATCACATTTACTCATTTTAATTATAGTAACATTTGATGACCAAACACTAACTTCACTTCTAAAACTATGTGCCATAATACGTCAGGACACTAAACTGGAACTGAGGGGGCAGTAAGTTAGTAACTCACAGTATTAGGTAGTGCAGGCAGGTAATCTTCTGCATTGAGACAATCCGCAACTTCCAAGTCTCCATAATGCATTGCTGCAGTGCCATCATTTGGCTTCTCGGACATGATTAGTCTTGTCCTTACTGGGACAGAAAGCATATTCCCTGCAAGAATAATAATGCTAAGGTCACATAAGTAAGATAACAGTGTAAATAACAGGCATGTGTTAGTATAAAGCAAACCTTGTGGCTGTACAGTAACAATCCTTATCTTGCATGCATTCATGCTCCCGCCAACCAGTGACTTTGACAAGCTTGTTGAAATTTCATCCTTTGAGTATTCATAGTTGGAAGCATTAGAGAGACAGAGCTGGAGTTCCTGAGAGGAAGATGGTCGAGACCTCCTAGGGTATTCATCAACTTTATTCTTTTTACGATTCAGTTGGTGCCTGCGATAACTCTACATAAGCCACAAAAAAGGATGGAAAAGCCAGAGCACCAGTTTTCTCAGATCCAATGAATTTAACAAGCTTCCTTACAAGACAGCAGTGCACAGAATATACAAAGCAATTAGGGAATAGATGATTCCAGTGATGATTCCAGAGCAAAGCTCGCTATTCTTAACTAATTATATGGTCCATTGTTTATTAAGTATTGTCGTAGGAAGGAACTAAGTTGTTTGCTTTGTATTATATAATATTCTCAAACTTATACCTTGCTTATTCTAAAGCTTTCTCATTCTCTCTTTCCTCACACTTCGTCTCATACACCTGATTTCAACAATAGCCCACCTCCAATTGTGCAGGAAACACTGGGCATAAAGTACACACCAAAGCACAAAACACGAGATAAATTTATCTATGAGGAGAGGTGGACTTATATACTCGCACATAAAAAACAAATGAGGCAAAAAGCACATTCCCCAAAGACCATTGATCACTGAATAGCAAATAACCTCGAGTAAACTTGAGACAAACAAACCCACTGTTCTTATTTAAAAAAAAAAACAAAAAAACACAGTGTCTCAGAAGATGCCATACGAGGCAATGGCATGCTAACTTTCCACACACAACTTTGAGCATGGCAACCTTGAATATGACCAGTAAAACTGAAGCTAAAAGGACTTGCAAGGAATCAAAAAGATGATGGCCTCAGCTATCCGTAACCACTACCTATAAAAAAAAATCTGTTTTAAGTCGTGACTTCATCCGACAGGTAGATTCTAAATACCACGGAGTACAAAGCTCGCAAGTCCACTCTATAAACAATTTAGTGTATAAAAATAAACAAACAAACCCACTGTTCTTATTCTATTTTTAAATTTACACACTTCTCTTTTAATGGAAACCAAGAATTGTATTTAAAGTTAGGAGAAAGATACAAGAAAAGTGTGAAAGTGACAACAAACAAAAAAAAAACAAAAAAAAAAAGTTGTAAGAGTAAATGTGGTGGGTCCTATTTTAAAAAATGAAAAGTTGCAAGTGAGTAAAATTTTAAAAAGATCCAAAAAAGGGAAGTGACAAAATTAACAGAAAATGAAGGGAGTATATAAATAATTTAAGTAGGACTCATACCTCATAGCTACCACCTCAATCTTCGCAAATTTTTCAAGCATGTTTTGGTCACCTAGTTGTGGGGTGCTAACAGACGG